GCATCTGCTATGTACCAGGAATCATTACTGAACTGGAAGAAAAGCAGAAACTAAGAAGTAAGGAGTTCATTTGAAGCCTTTGAACTGACTCAATTATCACTGGACACCATCCCTGGCATTACAGACATAGGAAGCATGGGCCTGGAATCTGTACCGCCTTTTTTGAGCAATACGCTATTGTTGCCAATTGCAGAAACACATCATGAGCCATTTTTCCAATTGCTTTAAAGAATTTTTTTTTACTTAAGGTTGAAAACACCCCAATTTTGAGAGGGTGTAAGGGTACAAACATGCCCAGTGTGTACTTGGCCCACAAAACACATCAGCAAAAAGCATATTTTTGCTCTACTCCATGAAAAAAAAAATACCCTGAAGCTCATGAACAAGAGAAAGGCCACTAGGAAGAGTAATAAAAACATAAATACATTTTTTAAATGGAAGTTTAACTAGGAACCTGGGCTATTGTGAGGATTAGCCAATTAATCCTCACAACAGTTTGATGAAGAACTAATTAATCTTTTAAGCATTTAAAGGGTCAAAAAACCTTGGCCAGGGCCAGGGTAACATTTGTTATGACAGTGTTATTATTCCGTGTCTCTCTTTTCCCAAGGCAGATTTCCTTTAATTTAATTTCATTGTTTTAGAGTTTAATTGTTTCTCCGAGCTTCTCTGGGAAAAGAGGCTTCTGAACTCCTTTTCCATCTTCCACCTTTCTCCCTTTCAAAGTAGCTGCTGGTACGTACCCTTACAAGAAGAAATCTTGCTCCAGTATTTTTCTGGAGTCATTACTTTTGGTTCTGCATACAAAGGCAGGAGAGACAGATAAATTGCCTGGGAGAAGCATGTGGATGGTTCTTCCTTCATATTCTTCTTAAAAGATCTACTGTTTGTTCAAAGCTTCACAGAATTTCAAGTTTGAAGGGACATTGTTGTTGTTTTCAGTTGTTTTTCAATTGTGTCCTACTTGCCATGACCCCATTTGGTGTTTTCTTGGCAAAGATATTGGACTGGTTTGCCATTTCCTTCTCTAGCTCATTTTTACATATGAGGAAATTGAGGCAAGCTAAGTTACAAGTGACTTATCAGCGTCACACAGTTAGTAAGTATCTGAGGCCAGATTTGAACTCAGTAATAGGAATCTTCCTGACTCCTGGCCCAGCACTCTATCCACTGCACCACCTAGTTGCCTCTACAAGCATTAGAAATCAACTAATATAACCCCCTCATTTTACAGAGGTGGGAAAACTGAGAACCACAGAGAGAAAGTGACTTACACAAGGCCAAACAGGTAGTCCATAGAAGAACAAGGATATGAACCTTGGTCTTCTGACTCCACATGTAGTTTTTAAATGGTAAGTCATAGAATCGTAATAATGGATGGTATTTATATAATGCTTTAAGTTTTACCAAGTGCTTTACATAGATTCTCCATTAGAGAGAAGTACTTCAGGTATTATCATAATCATTTTACAGATGAAGAAATTGAGGCTCAGACAATTCAAATGACTTGCTCATTATCAAACTTAGTCATGTCAGAGGTGGGATTGAAACTCAGGTCTATCTGACTCCAACTCCAGCTCTCTGTTCCCTATACCACATTGGGCTAAAAGGTGTACTAAGAGTTTATTTACTTGTTTTACAAATGAGAACAGTCACTCTTCACACTGTTCAGAAACTGAAGATACTTCTTTTCATCACCTGAACAAAATGTGTTCCCTTCTTACTGGGGACCTATCCCCAAAGCTGTTGTTGTTCAGTCATTTTTCAGTCATGTCTGACTCTTCATGACCCTATTTGGAGTTTTCTTGGCAAAGATACTAGAGTGGTTTGCCATTTCCTTCTCCAGCCCATTTTCCAGATGAGGAAACAGAGGCAAACAGGTTTAAGTGACTTGCCCAGGTCACACAACTAGCAAGTGTCTGAGGCCAGATCTGAAGTCAGGAAGATGAGTCTTCTTGACGCCAGGCCTGGCACTCTATCTACTGTGCCACCTAGCTGCCCATAGCACCGCCTAGCTGCCCCTAAATGTACCCCCCAAACAGTCCGGTAAATCAGTCAGGGCCCCATATTTCCCCAAGGCCGCAACAATTTGACTGATAGTTTGAAGGTATTTCTTTACAGAGAATCACAGAATCTCAGAGCTGTAAGTGACCTCAGGGGCCACGTAATCCAACTAATACTGGACTAAGAATGCTTTCTACAGCATGCCAAAAATCAGTCATCCGGTCTTCCTGTGAAGACCTCTTTAGTATAGTGGCTCATCCTAATTCTGGATAGCTCTAATTCTTGGTATGTTTTTCCTGACATCAAGCGTGTCTCTTTAAAACTTGCATTCATTCTTCCAATTCTGCCCTATAGGGCCAAAGAGAATAAGACTAATCCCTCTTCTGTGTGACAGCCCTTTAAATACTTCAAGGCAGCTCTCCTGCCACCTGGCTAAGTCTTTGCCAGGCTAACAATCACCAGCTGCTTCAACTGGTCATCATACAGCTTGATCTAAAGCAGGGGTGTCAAATTCAAGCAGAAAGGGAGCCAGTAAACCATATATAAGGATCCCATGAGCCTCGTATTGACTTTGAAAACCACAAATTAATATTATCAGTGTTCTTATTAATTTTGTTAAATATTTTCCCGACTCCATTTCAATCTGACTCAGGCTGCACTCAGGAGTGTTGTGGTCCTATTGTATCTGTGGGCAATGTGTTTGACACCTTTGTTGTTGAAGACTCTAAAGACGCTGGTCACTGTTGTGCAGCTTATCTCCTAGGTGGCATTAAGTACTGGATTTTGAATGAGGAAGACCTAGATTCAAATCCTGCTTCAGACACTTATTAACTGTGTGACCCTCGGCAAGTCCCTTAATCCACCTTTCAACTGAGTTTCCTCAGCTGTAAAATAAGGATATTAACAGTGCCAAACACACAGAATTATCATGAGAGTCAAATGAGATAAAATACTATAAGTAAAATAAATAAAAAAGAAATGTTCTGCAAACCTTAAAGAACTATATAAACGTTCACTATTATTATCAATGTCTTTCCAGAAGTGTAGCACCCAGAACTAGACAAAATAAAACACACGTGGTCTGGGCAAGGCAGAATATGGTGAAATGATCACCTCTCTTTTTTTACACACTATGGTCTTGTTAGAGAAGCCTAAGATTCATTGTCTGTGAAGAAAAATTGCTTTGTCAAAGCTGCTTTATCTTCATATGACTCTCAGGGTTGGTGCTAAACAAATTGTGAAATTAGCAAAGTGTCCCCAGTCTCCACTTTCTCCCCGCCCTTCCCCTCTTCCTCACTCTATTTCATCTCTTTTTTTCTGTTCCTTCCCAACTTAAAACACTCAGTGCCACCCTTCCATGAAAATCTACCTTCATGACAGTAGTCATGAACATGTTAGTGTAAATTAAAGGCAATGTAATTACCTCTCCTAGAGGAATTTTCATATTAAGCTTTAGATTTCTAATTGCAGAATGAAAGACTAATGTCCCTTATTAAAGGAATTTCAACCAGCTGGGATCAAGCAGAAGGCTCTTTTGGAGAAAAGTGTTCTTATTATTACTTAGAAATAAACCCATATATGGGGCAGCTAGGTGGCACAGTGGATAGATCTCTGGCCTTGGAGTAGGAAGGATCTCAGATCAAATCCAGACACTTGACACTTACTAGCTATGTGACCCTGGGCAAGTCGCTTAACCCTGATTGCCTTACCAAAAAGCAAAAAACAAACAAAACAAAAAAAATAAAAAACATATAAACCATCAGTTCTAACTGTATACTGTAGACTTCTACATGTTGTTGTTGAGTCATTTCAGTTGTGTCCTACTCTCTTTGACCCCATTTGGGGTTTTCTTGTCAAAGATACTGAAGTGTTTTGCCATTTCCTTCTCCCTCTCATTCGACGGATGAAGAACTGAAGCAGACAGGGTTAAATGACTTGCCCAAGGTCACACATCTAGTAAGCGTCTGAGGCCACATTTGAACTCAGGTCCTCCTGACTCCAGGCCTAGCACTCTATCCATTGTACCACCTAGTTGCCCTTTCTACATGTTAGGAGAGTCCCAATATTATTTATATAAAAATTGATTATAATTTTTATAATACTATTCACATAGAAAAACTATCCTTTCTTCCCCCCTGCCCCATCACTTTGGATATGGATAGAAAGGTGTCTTCTTTTTGTTATATTATATAGCTTTACAGAGAGGCAGTATAGCATAGTGACTATAGGGTCAACCTCAGAATCAGGAAAACCTGGGTTTAAGTCCTAACGCTGACATTTACTAGCTATATGACCAATGGCAATCACATAACCTCCTTTTAGTGTCCCCGTGACTCTCTTAAGACTATAAGTTATAGAAAAGTTGTCATCTTATTTTTGTGGAAGGAGTTTCCATAGCAGGAATTCCCTACAATAATGAGATCACAGATCTGAAACAAAAGCAGATGGATGGGTGGATGGATAGATAGATAAAGATAAAGATAGATAGATAGATAGATAGGCAGAGATAGACGGATGGATAGATAGGCAAGCAGAAATAGATGGATGGATAGATAGAGGGATATAGACAGGCAGGCAAAGACAGAGATGGACGGATAGAGAGAGAGATATAGACGGATGGATAGATAGATAGATAAAGATAGATAGGCAGAGATAGGTGGCAGACAAAGATAGAGGTATGGATAGATAGATGGATATAGACAGGCAGGCAGAGACAGAGAGATAGACAGATGGATAGATATAGACAGATGGTCAGATAGATATAAACAGATGGAATGATAGATATAGATGGTTGGATGGATAGATAGATAGACAGATAGGAAGGCAGGCAGGTAGGTAGGTAGGTATAGCTATGCTAACCAAGGTATGTTTTTATGCAGAATCATTCCCACAGTGTTATATAGGTTGAGACATGTCACAAAGTAGAGCAGTTTAATATCATTTAATAATAGAAGACCAACTAGTATTTTTTCACTGATTTTTTTTTCTTCATCTAGAGCGAAATGGACGAGACCCAGATACAGTTGGCTGGAGATGACGTGGATTTGCCTGAAGATCTTCGGAAAATGGTGGACGAAGATCAAGAAGAAGAGGAAGACAAGGATTCCATCCTTGGACAGCTGCAGAATCTCCAGAACATGGACTTGGATACTATCAAAGAAAAGGCTCAAGCCACCTTCACTGAAATTAAACAAACAGCAGAACAAAAATGTTCTGTGATGTAAGAGAGATAGGAGCTGGCATAGTCTGGCAGACAAAGGGTCCCTATCCAGCCGAGGGGGTAGGATCATCATGTGGCATTTTAAAAAGCAACATGTATCTAAAATAGTGATTAGAGTGAGAGACTGAGTAGCTAAAGCATCAGACAAATTCATAGTCCTGTAGATCAGGTAGCACCTTGTTGATGCCAGAAGATATTATACTTTAAAGGCATTAATTCTTACATACATAAGGTGCAGAAACCACCCTATTTAATGAAATGACCCTTAGGATAATTAGTGAACCATAAGGAAAGACTGAAATTCTCTCTCAAGTTCTCTCCTGCTCAGTGACTCTTATTGACTTGTATCTTGGTATTTGGCATCCCTTACTGTAAACCAAGTGTGAATGTATGAAAAGACCTGGAAAAGGTGCGAAAAAGAGGAAACACAAAAGCCAAGTGCGCTAGTTGGTGTGTGAGCTGCTAACGTTGCTAGGCTTAATACAGTTCCCTTATCTATTGTTGCAGAGGTGTATAGACACTACCCCTCATGCCAACCCAAAAAGAAGGTATTGACAAAATGTCAAGTAGACATGGAGTAAGAAAAAGACTGACTACAAATTTCTCAGTCTCATGCTGCAAAAGGCAACTCATGGAAGGCCCGTGTCATCTTCCATTCCCATCTCAACAAGGCTGATTTTTCATTATGATACCTACAAAGGGGAAGTCTCCTCTTTCTCCCATTAGACAAAATCCTGCTGTCCCACCTCCCTACAGCTTGGTGTGAAATGGAGGGTTGCTGGTGATTTTGTGGATTTGAGGTATAATTCAGCACCATCACCACCCTACAAAGAGGCAGGAAGGAAGAAAGGAAAGAAGAAGGAAGGAAGGAAGGAAGAAAGAAAAAGAAAGACAGAAAGAAAGAAAGAAAGACAGAAAGAAAGAAAGAAAGAAAGAAAGAAAGAAAGAAAGAAAGAAAGAGAAAGAAAGAAAGAAGCAGCTGCTCTTGATCAAGAAGAATCCTCCTGGCCCACAAGAATCCAGGATGCTCCAAGGCCCTGGAGAGAACAGATCTCATGCTCAGAGATGAATGTTAAAGATGTTATTTCTTGAAATGACATCTCTTCTCTTACACCCATCCTGTCTTTTTCATTATTGTGGCAAGTTTCTTTGTCCTACTGTCCCTGTTACCCCCAGCCACAAAAAAGGCCCCTTGAATGAAAAAGGAGACATTAAGTATATCTTGTGAACTTTCAAATTTTATTCTTTTCTATTAAATTTTTTTCTCCCCTGTGATCCCCATTTTCTCTGCAAATTGAGGGGACCTTCTAGCCCTAGTAGTCATTGATTACTCATCTCAAATTCCTGGCATAAATGAATTATTTCAGAAGTTAATAATGGTGTGCAGATCTTCCTACTTCCCCTAAATGGTCTGTATATTCCCACTTTCTGATTGCCCAGCTATCTCCACCAACTGGCACCCATGATTAGCCATGAAATTTACAAAAGTGATTCCCACTGATAAAATGGAACTTTGGTACCTCTTCTGAGATGTGATATATTTTAAATAAGTATTTTATATTTTGAATAAATTCCAAACTTCAGATCCAGGAATTGGGGGGATCAGAGTCTGTGGGGGGAATACCCAAGGTGGAAATTCCCTTCATCAGAACTAATCAGCAACTTGTCTCTAACTTATAGTTTTAGAGAGCTGTCTAATATACTGATAAGTGGTGAATCAACAAGCACTGGGAATACAAAGATGGGTAAAAACATAGTCCTGCCCTCAGAGAACTTACATGCTAATACAGAAGACAACTAGCAAAAAATTGTTTTATACATATATAAATACACACACAAACATATATTTTATACATATGTGTTTATACATACAGCTATACACATATGTAAGTACATGAATATATGTTTATATATACATCTATACATATACATAAGTACATGTATATATGTAGATAGGTACATACGTATGTGTATATATAGTATAAATGAAGGGAAGACACTAACTTGAAAGATCTGCAGTAGAAGGTGGGATTTGATTTGAATCTTGAAAGAAGCCAGGGAGGAGAGCAGGGACAGGAGAGAATAGAGAGCATTCCAGATATGAGGACATTAGTGCCCAGGAATGGAGTCAGGAAACGCCCTAGTTCTCAGTTCATTGACTGAACTGAACTGACTACTCATCCTTAGGCCAATGGGTATAGGACACCATGTTTTATCTCTTTTCCAATAAAAATAATAATAATTATTATTATTAACATTTCTATAGCACTTACTATGTGCCAGGTGCTGTACTAAGTGCTTTACAAATATTAACTCATTTGATCCTCACAACAACTCTGGGAAATAGGTGCTATTTTTAATCCACATTTTACAGTTGAGGATACATAGGCAAACAGAGGTTAAATGACTTGCCTAGGGTCCCACAGCTAGTGAGTGCATTAGACTGGATTTGAACTCAGGTCTTCCTGACTCCGGACACTCTATCCACCGTGACATCTAGCTGTTCCAATACCCAATTCTTCCCTATAGTTGGTTCTAATGCATAGGATGCTTCTATGTGTTTGGAAGAGTGCATGCTCTAGATAACTCTTTAAAATGATAAGTTGCAGAGAAAATGCTGTGATTGACACCTGAAACCATTGCCTAGGAGATGGCATGAAGATGAGTTTTTTGGGAGAGGCGCAGCAGTGGCCTCCAAAGGACTGAGTGGTATGGCTACCAGCACAGCTCCTAGCTCCTCTGTCCCCCCTGCACAGTTGTATAGCTCTACCAGCACCAGGCCAATGCTCCACTTGTGGTCTTTTTTCACTTGTGTTACAGAGCATGCGAGAGCACAGGAAAAATGATCTCCTTCCCAGGACATTCCCATTGTGGGACTGGCCTTTTGGGGAGTCAAAGTAGGCAGCCACTCAACTAACTAGCTGACTGTCAGAAGGACCTCCTCAACAACTTGTTGCAGGACCTGAAGGCCCTACACCTTCCTTTGAATGCCCATTGTCTCCACAAAGATCAGTATTGAAATGTATGTGTATTCCTGGGAGGACGAATACATTAATCATTATTTCTGGGATAGAATGTGTTTGATTAAAGAAAACAAGCTCTGAGGGAAATGAGACCCAGGGCACAGGATCAGTAACATACAGGAGATACATACACACACACACACACACACACACACACACACACACATATATTATATATATATATACATATACACACACACACATATATATGTATGTGTGTATATATATATATACACATACACACACACATATACATACACATACACATACACACACACACACATATATATACATAGAGGATCAGTAAATCTGATGGAGGGCTCTCTAAAAGTATCTCTTTAAATAAGACCACTATCAGATTTTTCAAAGAATACTTGTTAACTAGTTAATATTCAAATTATTGGGGGGCAAGGGGGGGTGGTAAGAGAGAACTTTTAAATCTGGAGTTGAAATCAGGAAGCCACCATGGCATGGTGGGTAGAGAGCCAACCAAGATGACCTAGGTTTACATCATGCTTCTGATACGTATTTTTTGTCACTCAGAACAAGGCACTTACGTTCTCAGTGGTACAGTTGGCTCTCTTAAGACTATAAGTTGCAGAGAACATGCTGACTTGTGTTGATAGAGGGAATTTCCTCACTTGACAATTCCCTACACCAGGTTAGAGAACCTTCAGCCTTCAGACCCCCTAGGTCCTCAAGTGAGGCCCTTTTTGAAGCAAAGGGCCAAACTTGAGGACCTAGAGGCACATGTGGCCTCAAGGTCACAGGTTCCCTACTCCTGCCCCACACCAATGAAATCACAAATCTACTTCTTATTCCTTTAAATCTTATTTTTCTTCCCAGAAAACCTAACTGGCTGAAGGATTAGCAGGAAATCTGATACTAGAAGAAAGCTGAATTCATTTCAACTAATATAGCAGATAGAATTGAATGCACCTCAGTGTTTTTAAAATCAAAGTTGTTCTATTGTTAATGTATCAGGATGTGGAGTTACACCGAGAGCTGGTTTATTAACACAATACTTCCCTGGGAGAGAGAAATTAAGACTATCTCAGCCTACTGTTTTACTGATGCCTAGGAAGGGCCAGCCTGTGCTCATCATTCACAATTCAGGGATTAGAATGGAAACTTTTTATGTTGAAGCGGTACTCCTGCTTATCCTTAGCTATTTAAATGAAGTGCGATTGGTACTTTTGTCCTTATCCTCAATTCCAGAAATGTCTCTGTGCTCCTGGGGAAAATTTAGCTTTGTCATTTCAAGTTTGGCTTGAACCACAGAATCACAACAAAATCCAAATGGCAAAAGGACAATTGGTCTTTCAAATTCCAAATTATAACAAACAAAACTCAAACAACTTCTTCAGCAGTTTTTAGACAATCCTAAAATTCCAAGGATCTGACTTGGTTTGCGTTATACCATTGTTAGGGTCTCATACTATCCCTCATTGCCTATGTCCATATACAAACACAGGACTGAAGACTGCTGGTTCAGCTGCATTGTCATTTCCAAAAAGTTACTAAAAACCAACAAGTTTACCCAAATGATTTCCTTAAAATTGAGAGCAGTCTTTTTTCGGGGTATCTTTCCTTGAGGCTATTGGATGTTATGACCATGAGTTCCCATAAAGTCTAGACACAAGTAGTTCTTCTGAATCTGTCCTTTTCTAATAAGAGGAACATTTCTTTGTCCATCCCCCAGAATTTAGTCTTTCCAGAATTCTTGGGAGGTAAAGTGAATTCTGAGTCAACCTTTTCTTTTTTTTTTTTCTAATAATTATAGTTATTTTTAGGCAATTGGGGTTAAGTGACTTACTCAGGGTCACACAGCTAGTGTCAAGTGTTTGGTCTGAGATGGGATTTGAACTCAGGTCCTCTTGACTTCAGGGTTGGTACTGTATCTACTGCGCCACCTAGCTACCCCTGGTAAAGTGAATTCTGAGGAGACTCCCTTAGTAGAACTTGAAGATGATTTAAATTA